GTTGGCCTTCTTGGCCACCAGGGCACACTGCTGCCTCATGGATATTTATTTATATCCTCATGGATATTTATTTATAAATAAATATCCTCAACGTTAAACTGTTTCAGAGCATTAGGAAACAGGGTTGGTTGCATTTTAAGTACTAGAAACCACACCTGCACTTTTATGCTACCCACAATACTTGTTCTTGCATGAGCTAACTTCAAAATATTCTTTGACACAGATGCACAGGTTTATGAACTCCAAGCTATAGCAATGTGCACTGCATCAATGAGACAGTAAATTCAATCCTACAACATCAAAATGTTATGTTTCTAAAAAAGATTTTGTTTTGCTTTTTGTTTCTTACAGTTGGGACACAAAAATAAGTCTAACTTCTTCCTCATATAAAGCAGCATTTTTAGAATGAGCTCACCTCTCATAGTTTCTAAGAAAATGTCATCAACTGACTATATATCCTCCATTAATTTCAATAAGCAACAACAACAAAAAAATCAGGACAAGGTTTTAGTAGCAAATTGGATGCAATCAAAAAAGGAGAATGATTTTAAAGGCAGCTTTAAGCCAGCTCTGCATTCCCAAACTGCAGGAGTCATTCACTGTTGGTATAAATACTGGATGATGTCCAGCACGTCTGAACTCCAGTCAGTATATTGATTAAAAAAAAAAAAAAAAAAAAAAAAAAAAAAAAAAAAAGCCTAGCCTTGATGGCATTTATGTTTGGGATTGAGGGTTTTGTTGGTGCCCTAGTAAATATTTCAAAACCTTCTATTCTTATCAAGATGTATGCAGCACCTCATAGCAGAAAGAGAGCGAGGGAAAAAAACATTCACTTGCAGAACAGACCCTTCWTCCGATGTACAGATACCCTTGGTCCAGTAAACTTAAGGAAGCCAAATCTCCTGCTCACTTAACGAAGTGGCAAACTTGCAATTCTCACACAAGGACGGCAATCATGGTTCTACTGGATTGTATTTGCTTGCCTTGGATCAATGCTTGTGCTCGGAAGCATCCTAATAGCTCCCTTTCAGGTTAAGAGCRTTGCCATTTTCTTAAGAGGGTTGTCCAGATCAATTTGGTTTAGGTGCTTTGCTAACAGAGCATGACAAACTTAAACCTGTGCATCTGGGTGAACCCACCTAGACAACAGGAAGCAACCAAACTACAAAGAGCACCATATCCTAAATCATTCTTAGGGCATTACGACTTGATCTGTGCACATAAAGTCTAATTGGATTTCTGGGGCTAAGGTTTCTATATCAGAGCAGCGCACCCCCTATTTTTGTTTTTGCTACCCCAGGAGGATGAAGCAAAACACCATGCAGCATTCAAAGGGGGAAAAAAAAAAACATAAGTAGGAAGAAAGCAGCTGGTTTGGTTCAGTTCTTAAGAAACGATGTCATGAAAAGACAGATCAATAGCAGCTTCTCATACCGAGCAGCCGTGATGGATTTTAACTGCTTAGGTTCAAGAGCATCAATACCCATTATGCGGCTAGATGTCAGCGGCTTTTGAGTAAATAAATAAATACATCGGAATGAAATAATAATAATAAACAACAAGCTATTTTCTCTCCCGTGACCTTCAGGAGCCTCTTCCCCCACCTAGGCGGGCACCTCCCCGGCTGCCGGCCCCGCTGCCCCCCGCTCCGCTCGCCCGAGCCCCCGCGCCGGGACCCGCTCGCCCGAGGCCCCGCCGCTGCGGCGCTCACCTACGGCGCGGGCTGCTCCGCGGGGTCCCCAACGGCCGCGGGGTCCCCAACGGCCGCGGGCGGTAACGGCCGCCGGCAACGCCCCGATGTGCGCGCGCACGCGCTCCCCCCTCCCCCCGGGCAGGGCCCCGCGCACCTCGGCGGCGGCTCCGCGGCGACGTGTCCGGGCGGGGCGGCTCCGCGGTCGCTATGGCAACAGGAGAGCGCGAGCGCCCCGCCCGCTCCGGCCCGCTCCCGGGCGATACCATTGCCACGGGACGGGCGGGGGGGGGGCAGCGCGGACCAGCGCGGGAGGCCTCGCCCGATGTTCCCGCGCGGCGGCGGCGGCTGCCGCCTCCTTGTCCCGCTGTCGAGGCGCTGGAGGGACGGGGGAAGGGAGCCGCCGTGAGCGTGGTGAGCGCCGCGGCCCGCCGGCGCCATCGCCCCCCCCCCCTCCGCGGGGCAATGGTGCGTCCCAACGGCCTGGCCCGCCGCCGAGGCGCCCCCTGGCGGGGGCGTCGCAGTGCGGGGAGCGCGGGCGGGAGCGCTCGGCTGCCCTGCCAGGCAAGGGTTTACGTAACGTGGAAATAAAACACACGTCTCGAAGTTAGAGAGGCTTATCAACTCACATGGCTTCAGCTTTTTCCTTTTTGTTGATGTTACTTGCAGGCACCTCCGTAAGTCAGGGTGGCTGAAGATGTCCATGAAACCCTCTGCACCCTCCCTTCCCCCCCACGCTGTTTGCATCCTCCAGATGAGAGCGCAGAGGGGGCTGTTGAAGGTAGTGAAGTTTCAGCAGTCCTCTCCAGTAAATTATATGTTAATCTACTCTCTTATTTTCTTGACACCGTCTGTCTTTTCCCTTGCTACCCAGGTTTTAGTAGTGTGGTTTGTCATGTTGTTCTTCGGCAAATCATAGCTRCTACCTGTAATGACAGCCGGTGGGACTGCCTCACGCAGGCCTCCCACGGGTCAAAACAACCCGGCTCCCTGCCACGTGTCCTTTCACCCTCCAGCCATGTCCACCCGGTCACTCCTGTACCCGAAAGAACCTCCCAGTGCTGCCCCGACTCCACCAAGTGTTACCTTACTATAAAATCCTGTCAATTAGTCACAACTCTTACATAGCCCGTGTGGCTACTGCACATTCCAGCCGTTTGGGAAGTCACTGTGTGCCCGAACTCAGCACGTGCACGTGAAACGCTGTAGGGCACTGTGTGTGATGCATTTGTGCAATGCGCATGGCAAAATACAAAAACATTGGGCAGTGGTTTACRTCATTACGTATGGTCTGTCCTAGTCTTAAAAGTCAAATCTTCATAAACGGGGTGGAATTAAGCAATCTGGGTCTTAAGTTTTAGTTGGGGCTCTTTCCCAACGCAACCCATTGAACACTTAAATATAACGTTTCCCCTTGTTTAGATGTRAAAGTAAATGCATTCAGTACAATGGACATGACCTTGGTTTATAATTTTAAATTCTGATGTCATCACTTCAAGTTTCAATTTATAAATTCTAGTTTCATATAACTTTCAAAGACAGCAAAGAACTCAGAAGAAGAATCTTAAGAATCTTAATGGTATCCAACAAATGATGTATATGTCCTAAAATACAACATGTTGTTTAAGATACTTTTCTAATTAATGTCTGGGGATTTTCTCTCTTTTTAGAAGGTCTTCTTCTCTTCCAAAGTGTTTATTATTTGACTGTACAGGGTATAAATGGATGCATAATATATTCATATCATTATGATTTCCAGCTAACTTTTCAATCCATTTGCTTGTTTTACAACACAACAGAGGTCTTATCGAATTCCAAAGTTGGAGGTAGCCAGGTAGAAAAGAGAGATCCTTCTAGTCCCCCACCAAGGTACGGTGGTAGCATCACATCATGGYGATAGTAGACACTGGAGACTCCCCAGTGAGTGATACCACAGAAGTGGTTGGCTGGTGGTAAGTTCAGACAAGTTTGGTCATGAAAAACAGCTGACCTCCAGACCAGGAGGTACTCAGCTTGCCTAGCTCTGGTACATCTGCTTGATACATCATCTTAAAAAAAAAGCTTAGAATCTTGGAGGGTTTTTTTTTCCATCAGAATTTATGCTAATTCAAAGTATGCCTATAATACCAAACATTGAGGACTTCCTACCAGAAATTAACCCAGTTTGCTACATGCACCACTGCAGCACTGCCAGAATCCCAAGGGCATCTTGGCCCTTGGAATTGGATCAAGTAGTAGATTTATTCATGCAGTTACCTCCGGAGATGGCCTGACTATGTTACAATTAATGAGCATTTTCATATCRCCTTTCATGTGAGATTGGTATAAATGTGTTTGTTTCACACTACAAGTCTATTTTATCTACTGCAATGGTATAGCACTTGTTAGACTTCTTTTTTTTAAGAAATATCCTTCCTATTTTCCAATGTTAAATTTCTACCATGAAAGTGTACAACATTTACCTTAAGTTACTGAGGAATGTTTAATAAGTTACTTGGTTTCTGTATTTTATCTCCATTAAGTCTAAACCGGTGTATATATAAATAAAACACAACCAGAACCAATTCTACTATATATCCCTAAATACTGTGCAACTCCAAGCACACAAAACAGATGGTGCCCGTCATCTGGTTGAGAGTGCCTGAGTATGGGGGCACCTACCTAAAAATAGTCCGGATAAGATTTTAAGAGTACCAAGTAATCACCGCTCTAGTCAACATCAATGAGCAGGGTCCAAAGGGAAGATAACAAAATCCCAAAGCAGGAAACATGAAGTTTCATTTGGGTCCTACTCGTTCAGATAGATCAGTGCTGTGAACAGCCAACCTTATGAAGCAGTCTGTAGACAATAAAAACTGGCCTCCAAGGCTAGAACTTGGTCCAGCTGGCAGTTTCATTTGTTGCCCATGCCAAAATTAAGTCTTTCCAGAATAAAAAGGAAAACTGAAAAAATCCAATGTAAAATATCATTGTTTCTCCTCCTCTTTTTTTTTTTTCCCCATTGTTTGAGATTAAACACTTAAAAACATGCTGATGTGAGATGGAGGTTTCAGTTTTGTTCTCCATTTAAATGTTTCAAGTAATACTGAATGGCCATATCATCTAATTTTCTATTTATGTATCTCATTTATTTAAACTACCTAATTTAAATCTTAAATGTGAAATCACATTTCTAAAGCCAGAGAAACTCCACAACATTAAAAGTCAGGACACTGCCTGCATGTTGGGTCACACTAGGTGCTGGCTTCAATCAAAATTATCTATGGATGTAGATAAATTTGCAGGGTTCTCGTCATCTTTGTCACTTATATAGAAACAATGAAATAGAACATTTAAGGAAAAATAAAAAAAGAAAGGCTCTAAATGCAGCTGTATTTTCTGTGCTGAGAAGAACCTTCCTGAGGYTGAGTTGTCCTCGGGGCCTGCAGGTGCTCGCGCGGTGCCGCTCTAAGGGCCGGAACGTGCTGCGCTCCGCTGCGCTGTCCTCYTTCCTGCTGGGACCATATGGTGGCAGCAGCAGGGCGCCCGCTGCAGCTGCCAGCAGTGCAGGGCAGCCCTGTACAAGTCATGTGGCTCTGACCCACTTCAAACGCTGGAGGGTTTAGAGCAGGCCAGTTGCCTTCCTGCTTGCTCACATACCTTTGGATCAGTGGCTTTCCCAAGCATGGCCCTGCAAAGCAGCATGCTCAGATCCCYGCGCTTCTCCTTGAGAAAGCCCTGTAGGCCCTGCTGTTTCTATCCAAATGATGTGGGGCAGACACTGTTTCCATTCCCAGGGTTTTGCTGCTGAGGCCTGACCGCATCACGCACAAGCTTTGGCATCCCAGAGAAACGGCCTCCTCGGAGCTCTCACAATTGTGAATCCACTTCCCTTATTGTCTCAAATCACCACAGCTACTGCACTGCCAGACCTTTTCTTTGGCTAATAAATTCCAAAATTAAAATGGTAGTGACACCCTCTATGATGAAAAGCAGTAAATCATGTAAAAGTTTTACAGAGTAGAACAGACCATTATTACTTCATCTCTTTCCTAAGACTTTCCTTAAACTTTACACAATGCCTGTCCTGCAAGCGTGCCAGAATCCGGAAGCAACAAACTCTGCAGACAAACAGGACACGGGTGAGAAGCAAGGAGGCAGCTTCAACATCAACACCAAGCCCCACAGCAGAAGGATGTGAGCCCTGTCCAGCGAGGCATCCTGCCTGCAATGCAGCCGGCGCATCCCATTCCCTGTGCTGCTCCCTGCCTTCTGCTCCCCACAAATCAGCGCAGTGCCCTGCCACGAGCCAAGCACAGCCCCAGCGTCGTTCCCAGCACCCCCACTTTCACTTTGAGTTCCGCGACTTTCACTTCAGTTCTGTGCGAGTCTGGATTGGGGTTCAGTTGGGAAGTTCATGCATGTTAACTAGGAGGACACAGAGCTTTTGAAACTTAGTGACCGTGTTTCAGTGTTTCCAATACGAAGAACCAGGTGTCATTTTCCTGTGTCCATCCACACTGATGGATTACATCTTCTAAAATAGCATGAAAACTATTCCTAAACTGGCACAACCCAGTTTTATTTTGCTAGAGTATCAGTAACTACACACAGAAGAGCAAATCAAGACCATGCTCCTTTCTGCTGTACATCAAACCAGTAGCCAAGTTTCTATTGACTTGTTTGCTTTTGGAGCTTTGATACTGTAGGCAGTCTGCTTGCAGTACATAAAATGCATAAAAAGCTTTACACTGGGATTCTGTAATTGGCATCTGTTGCACTTAAATTTTCAGCGCCAGTAAGAGATTGGTTTTTTTCAYAGAAAAGAGTTTAACATGAGAACTCCAGGGCAGCACTCATCCACCCCTCTGCTAGCTGTGGGACACTTCTGCTATCTTAATAAAAACAATAGCTACTCTATCCTTAGAAGACCAGCTAATAATCACCCTTTTATGCTGTGTTGAATACTTTAAAAAAAAAAAAAAATTATACAATGCTTTTTGACCTAAGGATCCATGAACACAAACTGTACCAGAGGAAACCAATGAAAACCACAGTTGACCTCACTGCTCTGGCATCATCTCTTGACTGTTGGTTAAAAATTAACAGCCTTTTACCAAAATGACAGATTTATGTGCAATTGTTTCCTGCTCCCCCACCAGCTCCCAGCCCGAGGGCAGCTGCCTCCCCTTGCAGAGGGCAGGTTGTGGCGTGGAGCTGCCTGGCTGGAGCCCGGCAGAGGCTGGAGCCTGCACAGCTCCTGCTCCCCACTGCAGCCTCAGGCCTCTGTCTCAGCGCTTGCAGCTGATGTCCCAGCTAGTTAATGCTGCTCCCTCTTACCTTATGCTTGCTGTAATACCAGCTTTCCACTAAAAGGGAGACAAAAAAGGATTAGGCTTTCTCTTTGAGTCCACTGTTTGCAGATAAAAGTATGAAAGGAAGTCACAGCGTTACCTTTTTAAGCTGTGTTTCTTGCTGGGCTCATGATCTGCAACCCTGGGATTGGTGACACTGCAAGCCAGGACGTTAGTTTTGAACCCTGCTCTTCTATGGCTTGTCACTGCTCGATGCAGCTGCAAGCTCTTAAAATGGTGCAGGACTAAATGAATTTAACTGATGTCATCCAACATATCAAAAATTCCAAGGAGATGTGGGCCTAAAAACATTTAGGCTACGTACCCTGAGCCCTGACTCTTTTTGCTTTTTTAAATCATGGAAAGATGCTTTGATTTCACTAGTGTTCCACAGAGATACAGGTATAGATCTGTTCTCCTTCCCAAGGGACAACTTGAAATTCTCTGGTAGCCTTCCCAAGTTAATCATTTGAAACACAGTAGTTGAAATTTAGAACAAAAAGCAAAATCTGGTCTTGTCCATATCACTGCTTTCCCTGCTTGTGATTTTGCTTGGATGGTTGTTTTGGTTACCACAGTAATTATGTATTTCAGTCCTACTGTGTTACTACAACATTCACAGTTCACTCTCTCTACTACAGGGGCAGCACTTAACCCAGATTTTTAATATAGAAACTTCCAACTGTGAAATAAATGAGCTGCAAGTCCTAGAGAACAGTTTGGTAAAATAGTTTGGTAGTTTATTTTCACTGTATATATTCCGAACATCACACATTCCAGCAACAAATCAATGTGCAGAAAACATAGAGACATTCAAACAAACAGTACAGATTTTTACTATCAGGATAAGACATCTGTACAAAGCTAAAACAGTGAGTAATTTTTTTTATATATGCTTGTTTATATAGATAAAGTCAATAGATTATTTTTTCTGTTAATGATAAATCATTGATATTTTTATTTTTACCTAATTGTGTTTTGTAATAAGGAGTTTCTATAATCCTGTTCYAGTCTTATCAACCTTCCCACAAACCGGTCAGACTGCAGCAAAACAAGAAACCTCCAACATTTAAAGCAAAACCCCTATATCACACACACACCCTTCCCAAAAGCAAATATTGTGCCCAGAAAAATCTACTGAACTGAAAAAGGGTAAGGCACCTGTCTCCTCCTCCCAACTCCATGCTAGATGTAGGCTCTTTCAAAGGGAGTGAGGGAAGGGCTATCCATGATTTAGCTAAGAGTAAATTCAGGCAAAACAAGGTCAAGTGCATCTACTTTAGGGCAACACCAGGTTAATTCATATCACTTGGGCTGCAGAATCCACAAACCAGATTTCTGGCAGCATGGCCACCAGATATGCTGTGTCCCAGACACTGCTGTGCACTGGGAGCCATGCTCTCATGCGGATACAGTCTGGAGAAGTACCAAAATTAACCCTCACCATCCCGATAACTGCCCTGGTGCCGCTGTGGCAGGACGGCACCGCCCTGGGTAAATGCCCAGCCAGGGCAGTCCGAGCCACAGCGACACTGCCACTCTTGGGTGGCTCCACACACAAGCTCACCAGGTCCGAACAGTTTTGTCACTAACAAACTGGCCATGAGGACCATCAGCATCTGCAGGTAAAAGCGCCAAGTAAACTGGGGTGTCAGCCCCTTCATCTGGTGATTTAGGGGCTTTCGGACCTGCCATGTCTGTTCTCACCCACCCTGGACAGCAGGCATTGAGAAGGATGTGGTCACCTTTCCTTTTCTCATTTATCATCCTTGCTTGAATCCTGGACAAGACAGTGACACCAATTTTGGACACCCCATAGGCAGTATTTGGCCAACCCTCCTTCACATGTGTGTTCTTCTTGGTATCTTCTACAAACTTGGTCATGAGCTTCACTAACTCTTCCTCAGTGATTGTATCACTGCGAAACTTCTGCTGAAGCTCTTTGCTGCAACTTGCCAGGGATGAAAGACTTACAGAACTAGAGACATTCACGACTCTGCCTGGGAAAAGAAAAGAAGACTAATTAACTACTTTTACACACTCTAAATAAGATGAGAGATTGAAATGACCTTGCTCTACAATCATAATAGTCACTACTTACATGCATACCCATAAAACATTTCACGTGGACTGTTTTGCAGAGCCTCTGGAAGATCACAGTTCACTGAATGTCAAATGACTTCCAATGCAAAAGGTAATTTAAAGAGTAAAAACTGCAAAATCTCTCTATTAAAGAGAAGGTGTGCTTCCATGAAATATCCTTTTGCAATCTACAGGCACATTCATAGTACTAAACTATGGTCTCCTCAGTAATGGCTGCAAGTCTTTAAATATAATCTTGATGTTCTGGTGGAAAGCTTTCTCACTTTTGCAATAATTTGAATAAGGTGCTATGAGAACATACCCCTAAGGGCAGAAGAATACAGAATCCAGCAAAAGCAGTCTGGATCCTAACACAGAAAGTCTGTCAGCTTGGATGCTGACTACCTGCTGATTTACCAACTTCAGTATGCAGAGCGCAGTGCACTACCTGTATTGTACTCTTTTTATCTTAATCTTAGACGTATTTAAACATTAACACAGACTATAACACAGAATATAACACAGACTGTATTTTACGTAGAGCAGCAAACACTTATTTTTACATGTGTATGCAATGATCTGTTAATCACAAGTCTTGAAAATACCTGCATTAAAAACAAAGAAAACCGCAATCCTTAAAATTAATTGGGGTTTTGAACAAAATATCCTTCTTTCAAATTATCTGTGATATACCAGCAGGAATCCAGAGCATTTCAGTACTCCAGCGTTAGGAAAACAGCAGCATTCTGTGCAAGATTGTAGTCTGATGAATACAGATTATTTGCATACTGCTAGCACCTTTTTATTATTGGTGTTTAGCAATAACACATCTACTGATATTTGCAAAGGTTTCTGTAGTAACCATGAGGACAAAAAATGTCAAACTCAAGTGTTAAAATTCTATTTTTAGGTATTTCCTTACGTTATCTGCATTTTCAAAATGTCTTTTCTTAATCTTAAAGAACTCTTTATGTAAGCAGATGTCATGGACAGAACATGGAAAAGTTTTCTACCTCTAAGGGTGCCATAAGAATTCTACTCCAGTCCATAAAAGAAGAATTGGACTGGGAAAAAAAAAAAAAAAAAAAAAAGACTTACTGTACTTTCCTTTTAATAGTGTACTTTGAGCTAGTGGAGGATTTTGCTATATAATGAGCAGTAAAATTCACATAAAACTTGCTCTACCTGTTAAGTTACACTTACCATAAGGCTTCACAAGAGGTAACAATTCTGTACAAATATTCCTGGTTCCAAAAAAGTTARTTTTCAGTGTAACCTCTGCTTGGACTGAGAATGGAGTAGTGTCATGAGCTTTTTATAGGAGATGGCAGGGATGGCAGCAAGGAAAGGAAGGGGTGGGAAAAAAAAAATCAATGTTAAAATACTGTTTGAAAAGAAGTTACAGATCTACTAAAAAACAAGTTTACTTGAGCAATTGAAATATACAGAAGAAAAAAAATCAATCATTTTTAATGAAAAATCCATCTATGCAAAACTATGTTATTTACAGGCCAATGATGTTTTTACCTCTTCTTAGCTGAAGATTTTAACTTGGACAGGGAGAGGAAAGGAAAAATCAGATGCAAAGGCAAGACCTGTGCAGTCTGAAGGAAAAAAATAAAAAGCAAAACAAACACACAAAACATACATAAAGCAGTAAACAACTTTTATAAATCATCTTCCTGAAGTGGCAGGGCTGTGCTGACAGCTGTGAAAGAGCAGGCAGTAGCAGCTGGGAAAGAGAAGGGAGCTGAGTGTAACTGGACCACAGAACTGCCCTGGCTTCCCAACACTGACAGCTTGCCAACACCAGCAGCAGGGCAGGATGTGCCATCAACTGACCAACTGTCTCAGCAGCAAAGCCATATACCAAGTCTTCTCCACCACAAGAGAGAAGCAAGAGTTACAAAGTGACAGGATTGCTCTTCATCTGCTACAGATTCAACCTGTGCAATGGTAAAGGCCACCTGCAAAGATTAGACTGGTCTCCACTTGTCTGGCCATATCCCAGACCTGTGTCAACTTGAAAGAGAAGCAATGACAGGTCACTCAGTATTTAATCTAGTTGTGTTTTTACTGCAAGACACAGCTTTAATTACCAGCTTGTCTACTCTTTTGAGCAATGGGCAGTCTATAAAAGGCTGCAACACCTTGCATTTAAACCTGAGACACAGATCAGATCATGATCTATTTATTGCAAGAGCTACAATAGCTGGAGGGGCAAAGAAACCCAAACCCCAGACAACACTGAGCTCCTGCTTTCATATCCACTCAGCAACAGAGATGCTCTCCTACACTCCAAGGACCCACTCATTTGTCTAACCAAATATATTGCTTATAACATCTCACTGATCTGATCTCCCCAGGCTTAGGGAGCATTAGAACAGTTCTGACAGCCTTGCTCAGAAAGCGACCTCGAGCTCATCTCCGTTTTGGACAGGAGCTTTTTTGCTGGCCTAAGGACTTTGCTGGACTATCTGTAGAGCAGCAGAAAAACTGAGCTGACAATTTAATGACAAATTTAATGTCCTAGAGACAATAACACATAGTACAATAAAGAAATACATGAAGTCTGAGATACTGATACAAACTTGGGGAGGCTGAAATGGATAGAAATGTGAATTTTAGGAGCTAGAGTTAAAGCTAGAGTATAATAAAAGCAACACAGCCATAAGCCCATAAGCCACAGTTCATAAGCCCTCAGGCTTCAGTGTTAGATACTTACACAGTACTAGTTAAAATTGGCCCTTCTTGCACTTGAACTGTATCACCTACTGCTGACAAACAGCAGGTCATCAGCTTGAAGAAAGTCTAGGCTTTCTGCAGGTAACTTCCAAATAAAAAAACTATGATGTTGTAAAGGAAGTAGCAGGACCTCCACTGCTCACCATACCTCACTTGTTCATCTGCTCAACGCCTACCCAATAGCAAGTCAGTCAGTTACTCAGATCTCACAGAGATGCTTTGGCAAATGCTGCTGCAGCAACGAGAGGAGTTTTTATTTCAGCCATTCAGAGGCTGCTGGTCACAGCCCAGTCTTGCTCAAACTCACGATCACAAATAGGTTGAGTTAGGGACCCAATTACAAATCACAGAAATACTGGCCTGAGCACCTGCAGATTTTTGGAAGGGTATGCTTAGACAGATATGCAATCTCTTAGCCACTGCTGCGAGGTTTTAGCATCTCACTATCACAAGCTCACCTTAGAGCCCAACTATGTTAAGAGGTCAGCCCTCTAGGGCCCCCTTTAACATAAGCAGTCTTGCTGCAAAGCACCATACACAAGTGACTGAAACTGGGCACACTCCTAATACACAAAAAGTTTTAGCATTGTGTGAGACTTGATCCATATTACCTGATGGGCCTCCTTAATTCATGCTGTAATTTTTGTCCCAGCTGGAGATCAGGCAAAGAAATTAAACAAAACAAACAAAACAAACAAAAAAGTTTCCATCCATCCCTCCCTGAAGATATGAGAACAAATTTGCATTGACTGGGGAATGAATAATTGGTCATGTTCAAGACCTACTCCCTCTGGAGCTAATACAATTCTCCATTTGTTTTTGGAAATACCCGAGGCAAATGTACTCTTCCACCTCACAGCTGTTGTGCCTCCCTTTCTTCTCTAAGAGAAAGGGAGATTGAGAAAGTAAGAAGTTAATTATTGYTCAGGACTGTGACTCAGCAGAACTCAGGCTAACTGCTTTGCTGGTAACTGAATGGCCTGAGGAAGTCACAGATAAGTTAATAAGAAAACAGAGGCCTGAACGTTCTTTTTTTAGCAGCTGTAATCCTTGAGAAACACAGTAGGCCAAGAGGTTTGCAGAAGAGAAAAAAAAGGACAGGGCAGAAGAAGACAAAGATCCCGGAGGGGCATGGCTGATGTTTGTGCAGATGATGAGTTCCCATGGGCCTGGTGAAACTCACTGGCACAGAGGTAATAAACCCAACCCTGCTCATACACTGACTGTTCACCTGAATTATCTTCATTGCTCAGTACACTAAGCAAATATTATCCTCCAGAAAAGCAATTTTACATGCACAGTTGGACCATAAGAGGCCAAAGGAAGGGGCATTTCACCTTGCCCTCTTGCTGTGCTTGAGAAGGCATGCAACTTGTCCAGGCAAAAGGGCAGAGTGCCACTGGCACAAAARTTCCACACAAGAAGCTTTTGATTAGATGCCTCCTTTATGCATCTAATATCTTCCTCCACACAACTTTATAGCACATAAAACCTTCCCAGCTGATCAGCTTCTTACCTTTGAAAGCAATCCCTGCGTTGTTAACCAGCACATTCACCCCTCCATATTTCTCCTTAAGGAAGTCGCGGAGGGCTTGGATGCTCTGCAGATCATCGATATCCAGCTGGTGGAAGAAAGGATGCAGCCCTTCCTCTTGCAGCTTCCTCACGGCTGCCTGCCCCCTGCCAGGGTCTCGGGCTGTCAGGTACACATCCCCCTGGAACTGCTTGCAGAGAGCCTGCACAATTGCAAATCCAATTCCTTTGTTGCCCCCTGTCACTACGGCCACTGGGGTGCTGGACATTTTCTCTGAAAGTTGTGTCAAAATTAGACTAACTGCAACAGAAAAGAAGAAAATTTCACCTTGTGAAAGGTGGAGGTTTGATAACAGATTAAAAAGTTTTCCTAAAAGTACGATTTAGAATTCCATTTTGAATTATATTAAGGGCAAGCAGAGGAGTGGCTTAACCCCCAAGTGCCAGTTAAGAATTAGTTTCAGCATTTCTGCAGGAAAACAGTGGTCTCTGCATCAGCTACGGGGCTCTTTATGCCTCATGGTTTAGCTGCAATACATGCCTAATAAATTTGCTGTTTTTCTCATAGACACAGTACACTTAAAGAAGCTTTCTCTCTCCTATAACAAAACTAACAAGAAGTAAACCATTGTTTTATTCACTTTTGACTGAACTCCACACTCTAGATTAGTTTGCAGTCAGCCCCGAGCAGGCAGGTGCGAGCAAGAAGCCTTAAATATCTGCTAAAAACACATGGAGAAGCTACGAGGGCGGGCACCGCCTGTCCCGCTGCTGACCAGAACGGCTCCCCTTTGCTCCCTTCCCGGCTTGCAATGAAGTCCTGATTTCACCGCAGACTAACACGCTCTCTCCCAGCTTCCCGGCACTGGTTTTCCCTCTTAACAGGAAGGCCAAACGGCACGGCCCAGCTAAGCCCGGCTCCCCAGGGGGCTCCGGCGACTGAGGGGCTCCGTTACCGCGGGACCGACTTCCCCCTCTCCCCTCCCACAGTCGCGGCAGGGCCGTGTACGGGACCGGAGGAGAAGCAGCTCTACCCAACCCACCTGCAGTCCTGCGCCGCTGCCCCTCAGCAGCTCCACGACGCTGGAGAAAATGAACCGGCCGGAGGATGGAGAGCGCCGCTAAGATGGCGCCCGCAGAGCCCCCGCCCCCCACGAGGCGGGCAACGGCCGGGGGCGGGAAAYGGCCGCGGCGCAACGGCCGCGACGGGAGCCTCGTCCAGGTGGGCCGCGCYCGGGGGGAGCCCGCCGGGACCGAGGCTCGGTTTCTTAGCAGGGACCGCCGTTCCGGCTTCCTTCGATCGGATCGCCTTGTTTTGGGGAGGAAGGTTCGTCACCGCGCGGCGGGGCTGCCGCTTTTTATGGGCTTTGAGTTTGGTGCGGCCGTACGTGCCTTGTTTTTTTTCACTTCCTTCTCTGATTTCATGTTGCATTGGCGTGTTTTTTTTTTTTTTTTTGGTTTTACGCCCATTTCTGGCCACACGGGCAGCAACCGGTAATGCCCGGTTCCCCCGGGGATGCCATGGGAGACCTTTCCCGAGGCAGTGAAACGTCCTGCGCTCCCGTTCGGTTTTTCCCTTTGGCACCCACGAACACACTGAGTGAACACGAGTGGTGTTTGACTGTCTGGGCTGCGGTGGTAGCGTGGTGGGTGATCCTGGGCTCTGTGATGACGTACGTGTGGGCTAACTGATGTTTTGCACATTAGACCCCATTCTGTCCCCATTCTGCTATTCTTGTCAGAAGAAATAAACTACAGAGGCTGCACATGCCGGTTAATTTTCAAAAACTGTATTACATTTTTCTGATTGAAAAAGTGCTTTAATTCTATGTACATAAACAGCACTCTCCCTTTTTCCTGTAGAGGACTATGGCCAAGATGACAGTAAAACCTTCCCCTGTTCCTTCACCTTTGTCATTCACCTTCATTTAGGGGTTTGCTTATAGCRTATTTTCTAACCTTTAAAGAGCAATGTGTGTAATATTAACATATTAAATAGGTAGTGYTCTAATTTCTCTAATTAGGATAAAAAAATGCGGTGGGTGAAAGGAGTACTAAAGGAGCCATAGACACTGCTTAAGGAACTTTTAAAGCTTTTTCTTTTTCTTTTTTCTTAATTCAGTTTGTCTAAATAAGGCAGAACTTGCATACTATGAAGAAAAGCAGAGGTCGGACAGGTCGAAAGAGAAGAAGGAAACGCTTGCGGAGTTTTATGAATGGAGGTACAATCCATGGAAGTAAAGCGRAATAATAAAGTAATCAATTGCTTGTCCAGATGCATGTTCATCAAACATGTTTGTGTTCTGAAAATAACATTTATCAATGACAGCGTTTTCTGCGCAAAGATTCTGGCATTAATAATCCCCATTGGAGCATGCAAACAATGTGAGCCCTGTTTTCTGACTAAGGGAAAGTTAGAATAACTTTGTTATTCTAGTTAGAAAGTTAGAATAACTATGTTATTCTTAAATTCCTTGGCCCTGGAATGTGCTGAGTAAGACCTACAGTCCCAGTTTCCAGAGGCTTAGAACTTAGCAAGCTAAAGAGAGGGGAGCCTTTTTACTGTCCTGTTTTGTTATGCTAAAAAGCCCCAAACATGTCTTTTCTGAACATACAGTAATGTTTTCCCACTTCTTTTGTTTTTCCACTAGAATGATGTTTTATAGCAATAATTAACTTTTTTTTTTCTGTTTTAATTTTTAAGTGAACAGTAGTCACAAGCTTGAATACATAACACTAAAGAAATGGCTGAAAGACAGAGGATTTGAGGATGGTAATTTAAGGCCCGCAGAGTTCCTGGGTAAGGTTTTAATTATTTGGTGATGTATATTGTTGTTTCTTCTAAAGGTGTTAGCTTTCTACTTTTGTTTTAAATCTCATACTTGGATGTCTTCAGTTATTGTTAGTCTTTCAAACAAAAAGCACAGGAATATCGTTAAATGTGAATGAATAGTTACAAATTAAAGCACTGTAAACTGTTTTTTATATAAAGATAGTCTYGTATAAAGCTTCAGGATGAGAATTTGCCAAAAGCCCATATAGACCTGTGCAGAATTCCTTGTAGAAAATGTTATTTCAAATGTTAATGGCACAGTTATCTAGAAGAAAATAGTATCTCTTAAGTGTTTCCACATTTAGAACCAAATCTTGTTAACATTTCTTCTTTCTTTCATCCTTTCTTTCTTTGTGTATAATTTCAACAAATCTTTGATTTCTAGTGAATAAGTAAATGGTTGTAGAGATGGGATTCATTTAGGAAGGATGCCATATGGCACGTCACAATAAAGATAAAATACCCTTACATTTTTTCCCTTCTTTTCCTTCTATATTTCAAAAACTTGTGTTATATTTAAAAAGAGTAGAGAAGATAGTATGAGTCGGGCAAAAATATTGTAAATAGAAACTGTAAGGTATAATTAAAGCACAAACCTGAAGTTACAGCAGGTGATGAAGGATGTATTTAAAGAAAAAGTGGGGGAAAAAAAAAGGTGAGCAATTTGTTAAACTGGACAGCAAATGTTGCTAGGGTTATTGGAGAGATGACTTTCTCAGGATCCTGAAAAGTAGTAGAAAAGTAAAAAGAAACTTAAAGAATAAAGTAATGAGCTGTTATCTGGAATAACTCATAAATGGCTTTTATGACTTGTTTGAGGTAAATATACTCTTGTAGAGTCTTGCTTTGCAGCCTATTATGATCTTTTATATTTTACTATGAGCCTCTTTRTTTTTACTTCAGACACAGGAAGAGGACTGATGACAACAAAAGCCCTTCAGGTTTGTAATCTTGACTCTTGACTGCTGCAAGAGCCTCTCTGAGCTCTGTGGGATGTAGTGGCATTTGCAACAAGGAAGGAGCCTTGGGATCCCTGTGATAGRTGTAGCTTTATCATCTAATACTAGACTAATTTGCAGTTATAATCTCTAAAATGATCCCATGTGCTTTGAAGACTTGAGTTAAGTTACTTCTGTCCTCTCTACAATGATTTATCATTCAGCTTCTTGTTGCAGTTTAAGGCAATCAGTGATACCAGATATCTGATATCTGAAGGTACAGTGCTAAGAGTCTGGAGTGAATGAAATGCAAGCTTATCTGAGCTTGAGCTTGAGCCAAGTGGGGAAACTCAGGTGTAGAATGGGAAGGGACTATTAACTTAATTTGTGCCCTCTTCCTGTGAGGCTGGACACAAGCCAGACAGAAAGGCTGTTTACATAGACACAGGCTTGGTGAACAAGGACAGGATAAACATGACCTTAAATACCTCTTTTCCATACTGGTGTGCTGATAGAAGTCTGGGTGTTTGTAAGATCTATTCTACGATATATCTTTGTGCAAAGATAGTGATGCTGAGCAACTGAGTGCCAAACTCYGGGAACAGCCACATCCACCAGTGACAGTTCATACTGACTGCAGACAGCCTCCTTCCCTGGACTGAGACTGTTTTAAAACCATCCAGTTTCCATCAAGTTGGACATCACATCCTTTTGCTTCTTGACATTAGTATGTTTTCAGAAATAATGTACTAAAAGAGCCAGTTACATTTGACATTTTGTATGTTTGCTATTTGTTTTCCTTTATTTGTTTGTTTATTTATTTATTTATTTTCCTCATAGGCAGGGGAACTGRTTATCTCATTGCCTGAAAAATGCTTACTCACTACAGCTACGGTCCTTAGTAGCTCCTTAGGAGAATATATTACAAAGTAAGTGAAAAGTGACATTTCTGACAGGAAAATAAAACAAGACTTTCTCAATTGGCCTTTCCCATGGTTTGCTCATTGGCAGATGAATCACCTYGAGGGGAGACAGGATTTTAAACTGCATATCCTAATTTTCAGGAGTATTTCTTGTCTTTCATGTGCATTGAATGCTCAGATAAGACAGATTTGGACACAAACCAGTCCATTTTAGCTAGGGAGGGTTGGAGAGAGGCTTGAACTGGGCCTGCTGTGAAGGTCAGCTGGGACTAAAATGTRAATGCCATTGTGAATGATTTATTGGGAATCTTTGAAAGTGCTTCAAAACAGGAAGGGATTAAAAAGAGGTTAAAAAGCACTCGCATGAATACAGAGTTTTAAAAAGTTCAGAACAAAGGCCTATATTGGACAATAAGTACTTGTTTGCTGTCTTTAAAAAAAGTAACAAAGACAAGTGATGAACCTAAAATTGCTACTACAAGCCAGCTTTTATAGTTTCTCAATAAAATGAACTCAAAGGTCCCTTTGAAATCATCAAAAGGCTTTGAAGATGAGCTACAAATAAGTTTAAAGTAGAAGCTATTTATAATATTTAAAAGTACTAGAAGAGAAAGAARATATTGCAACCATTTCCTGTCTTACCTCTGTGTATCTTCTCTATTCGTAATTTTATTTTATTTTTTTAATAGATGGAAGCCTCCTGTATCTCCTTTGCTTGCACTGTGTACATTTTTAATAGCAGAGAAGCATGCTGGTGATAAATCTCTGTGGAAGCCGTATCTTGATGTTTTGCCCAAGACATACACTTGTCCTGTTTGTATGGAGCAAGAAGTAGTCAGCCTTCTTCCAGAACCTTTAAGAAAAAAGGCTCAGGAGCAGAGAGCCATGGTCCATGAGTTGTATGAGTATTCCAAAGCTTTTTTCTCTTCCCTGAAGCCACTGTTTGCTGAGAACCTAGAGGCTGTTTTTAACTACAGTGCCCTGGAGTGGGCTTGGTGCACTGTCAATACCAGAACAGTATACATGAAACATTTACAGAGGGAATGTTTCTCTCTTGAGCCAGATGTTTATGCTTTGGCACCATATTTAGATCTACTAAACCACAGCTCAAATGTTCAGGTAAGAGATTAAAAATAGATCACTTCTTTATTTGTAAATTCACTGACTCAGTACAATGTTCATGTATGTGATAGATTAAGTAAGAGTTTAGTGAGAGATGGCAGTCTGTCTGGAAAACACCAGCAGAGGTACTGCTGCACTGGGACTTATTAGTCAGCCTGGGATAGCTCAATAATGATTCAAAGATTTAGTTCMATTAGTGAAGCAGAGGTATGGGGAGAACACCCGATGGTATTCTGGATGGGTGAGATTTGCTGCAGTGGAGCTGGGAAGAACCACTTGTAATAACTCAACCCTGTTCTCCCAAAAGGCTCAGGTCCTATGACAAATCTCAAGACTTAAATAGTCCCTTCACTTCTGGGTTCAGAGCAGCTGAGGAGAATGCTATGTACAGAGCAGGGTCAGTCTGTCAGCCCAGAGCTGGGATAGCACAAAAGTGGCCAGCTCTGCATCGTTATTTGTGTATCTAGGGTTTTTGTCTACAGAGCGGGTGGTGAATCCTGTAGACAAAGGTTTTGATGTTTGTTCTTCATGTTTGTATTTTGGGATAATACTAGTGAGCAATYCACCAAATCAGTTGCCTGTTCAGACATTTGCGACACTAGATACTTGCATCCTTTTGTTAGAGTATTAGAGAAGAGATCCCTGCAGTTATCTGTAATGATCAACGTCTAACTACCTTGTTTCACCTTTCTTTCTGCCATAAAGTAAAATATCTTGTTTTTAATTTCTCAAAGGTAAAAGCTGCATTTAATSAACAAACCAGGAGCTATGAAATTAGGACAAATACACAGTGCAAGAAATATGAAGAAGTGTTTATCTGCTATGGACCTCATGATAACCAGCGACTCCTCCTAGAATATGGATTTATTACTATTGATAACCCACACAGCAGTGTTTATGTGTCATCAGGTTAGATTTATAGGTTGAAAGGTAGAAGAGTGAAGAGCAGTATCTGAGCCAGTTAATGCTGCATCTCTTCAAAAGGAGATCTGGGTAAAAGGAATAATTAAAGGACAGTGAAGTCCACACACTTGCATTTATATGCACAGTGCACATATGCACAATGCATAGTGCAGCATTGTTAAATATAATTTTAATACAATCAAAATATTTTTCACTTCCAGGAAGTAGAATTGTCATTGATACTGCTTTGAACTGCATAGAATTTGGAGAATGGAGATTTCCAGTTTTAGTGTTCTTTGGTAACTTTGTCTATTCTGAAATTGTGATTCTTGCACTCTATTATGGACTTCAAGATTGAGATCTCTGTCTTAAATAACTGAAATTGTTGAAAGCTTTTCATAAGTCAGGATTTCTGGTTATAGGAATATATTCTTGCAGATCATTGATTACTTTTGAGTGAGTGAGCACTTTTCAAATGAACTTTTTGATCATATTTAAGTTCATTCAAATATAACAGCTTTTGGTCTTGTCCATAGCCATTTGGCAAATATGACTGAAATGTTATTTCACAGTTGAAGACGGTGGTTTCTCCTGCATAGCACTTTTTTTTTTTTAATGTGTTTTTTATGCAGATACTCTTCTTAGATATCTTCCACCACTGGATAACCAGAGAAATGCAAAACTTTCCATTCTAAAGAATCATGATTTTTTAGAGTAGGTATCGTTTCAGTGTGGGCTTTCATTTCACTTTTTTCTGGGAGTCAGATTTTGCTTCTGTAGTCAAAATTCAGCATAAAATAATTATCTTTTTTAAGAAACTGATTCATTTCCTGTTTATGGAAGAGCATGCAAGTGGTAAATGCCARTATCAAAGCTCAAGGTCCGCTCTGTCTCCTCGCTGTGGACAGCAGCAGATTAACAGGAGYCAGGGAATCCTGTAATCCCTTAGACCAGAAACTATTTCTCTAATAACACTTGTCAGGAACATGGCTATCATGCTATAAAAGATCACATATACTTTCTGCTTGTTGTAATTCTCATTTTTTTAGAAACTTGACCTTTGGTTGGGATGGACCGTCTTGGAGACTCCTGACAGCCCTCAAGTTACTAAATCTACGAGAAGATGAATTGTAAGTTTCACCATTTAACTCTCTAAGTATTTAGAAAACGAGCATGTTTTATTTTCCTTTACCTATTCTTTCCTGATCTAATGTATGTGATACTGTGATAATTGTCCTGGATCTTCTTCTGAGACAGTCTCGTTAACTGCAAGTGAGAGAGGCAAAGAGGAAAGGCCACAGAGTATACAATGTGACATCTTGGCCTATTTGTTGCTTTGGTCTTGTACTTTCCTGTTTTGAACACCAGGAATGCAGTATTTTCCCTCTCCATTTCAAGAAGTGGGTATTACTTTAAGGTTCAGGCCCCAGACCATCTTTTTGTTGTCTTAAGGGACCTGTAAGTACTATTAACTACTTGATTTCTGAGAAGTGTGTTCCAGAAACTGCTTCTGAAATTCTACGGCTTAGGATCTTCTGGAGGTCCTCTCTAGTGACTCTCAGTACAGGTTTGATCATTTATTCCAAATGGCAAATTTGCCTCAASCACCACGGATAGAAAATGGTTACCTGAACATTGTTTGTTATAATAATTAAAAAAAAAAAAAAAAAAAGTGGATTTAGTTTGGATGACCACTTATACTTTGAAGTTTCATTGCTGAGTGGAGTAAGTTGACCCAGAAATAAATCCTGTGACACTGTGACAGGTAAAGCTCTTGAAGTGCATTATTAGGGAGGTGATTTTARCAGAAGCCATGCTAATTAGTTTTACCCAGATGTTATTAACCTTTACTCCTTATTCCTGGGCTGGTGAAATTGGAGGTTGCACAGCAGAGCAGCAAGGCTTTGAAGCATTAGTCTATGTGCAGACTGTGGCCACGGCTGAGAGGGTGAGGATGGGGAAGCATCATCCCGACGGAGTTTAGAACCACTGCTGCAGACCATTTAATCTTTCTTCTGTTTTCCTTACACTATTAGTTTGATGTCTGAATGCTGTGTACCTTTTTACTTATGTTAAGGTTTCTTATGTTAACCTTGCATCAGCAACCTTATGTCTGAGCATAACGATTAGTGTCTTGTTCAGTAGGGAAATACAGGAAGTAATTGTGTGTTGTTTGAATGTTTTGGTTCTAGCACTTGCTGGAAGAGAGCACTGCTTGGTGATGTAATTTCAGCCACAAATGAAGAGCAGACTTTGAATGTAGCAGAAAAAATATGTTGTTTTTTAATAGAGGAGACGCAGCAGGTCCTTCTCCAGGTAATTTGTTAGAGGAACAAGGTAGCCAAGATTGCTTTTTCTCCTAGTGTAAAGTGTATAGTAGTGTAACTTTCAGGTGTGAGAACAGAATGAGGACAGGCCATTGACTTCACTGGGGAGATACAAATTGGTTACCATGGTAATTGGTAAATGCTCAGCACAATTTCAAGCTGCTTCAGAAAACAGGATTGTGTTACACAGCTCTGGTAAAGCCCMGTGAACAGGTTAAGCCTGTTCAGCCTTGCATTGCCCACTGTGTGAATGCATTTGTGGAGGGCAACCTCTTAGAAGAGAATATGGACTCACGTAAGGTAGAAAGAGAAGACGTTGCAGACCTGCTGTGAGGTTTGTGTGTTGCAGAAGATGAAGACTGTGCTCTTTGGAACTAGTCAAGCTAAATGAACTGTCCTTGTAAGCTGGTCAAGGTTAAGTAATAGCTCTCTTAMAAACAATCTTCCTTTCTGAATTGGAGCAAAATGTGAGTACATAATGTCAAGCTGGATTGTCATCATTGAAAAGGGTTATGAAAATGTGTGTGTGTATATATTTATTTATTTATTTTGCAAAGGAAATACATGTATGCACAGAGCCTAAGTTGTGAGCCGTGTCTTGAGGCTCATAGGGGCTTAAGAGTCTGATGTCAGGTTGACATTTTCCATCTCCAGTTCTCTTGGGTTCTCTTGGAGTCCTATCCATGTGATGTTTTTTCCATTTTTCTTTTCCATCTGCAATTATTCTGGTGGATGGTATAAAAATACTGTATTTCAACATGAATGCACAGAATCTTTATTGGAAATTAACTTTCCAGAATTTCCTGTCTTACATTAAATAATGTGAATATTAAGTAATTTCTTACCATTTTTATCAACTTCAGATTTCCCATTTGAAAAGCGACAAAGAAAACCTAAAAGACCACCTGGCTCTGGTAGAAGCTCTACACTTGGAAGATCTGAAGATTCTACAAAAATCAGCAGAGATTCTGTGCAACTTGAGAAAGGCAACAACTTGACCCATCTGGAATTGTGGTTGCGATCCAGTCAGCTGCAGCTTTTGCCATGGACCTGTTTGGCTCAACTGCTTTTAATGAATTTGAGCAGCAAAGACTAATGTTGAATGTCACCATAATGTGCTCAGTTTTGTTTACAGATCTCATAGGATATGGTGTYTTACTCTGTTTTTTGCTGAACTTCTCCAGTAACACAAAAGGTTAACCTGAAGGATAGGGAGGAGGAGAGGGTGCCTTTCTGTGCATGTCATCATGGCTGCTGTAAGCAAAACAGCTCYTGGCATAGTTTGTGCTGGAAGTACTGCAGTTTACAGTGCTCAGTGGTCTACAGCATGGATCATGAAGTCAATTAGAGACTCTTTAGTGTGTATCTGATCTCTGGCACGTGTTAGAGGGAAGAGGGTAGATTCCTGTACTGCCCTTATCTGTCCTGTTACTTATATCTGCCCTGCACTGATCCTGTACCTTTTCTTTCCTGGCATGTGTAGGTGTCTCTGAGTTTTAGGGGTTTACGTAGTGTCTATTCATTGCTGTAGCAGTAGATGTGGACTAAAGCACAGATTGCTGTCAGTCCTGTTGTGACCCCAAGACATTCCCTTCTCAGTGTCATCCCAAGTGTTTCTTGAAGAGGCTGTTATTGAAAGTTTAAGCTTGAAATATCATAAAGAAGTATAAATTTCCCTCCTTTACTCAAAGCTCATTCCTCATTCAAAGATTCATTCCTCTTGCTCAGAATGTGAGCTGAAATGGTGCATCATTCTGAACTGTTTCTTGCTTGCATTTGGATTACTTGGCAATTCATTCTGTTTCTGTTCAGTTCTAGTGATTGCACTGAAATGTTCTTACCCTTTTGAGAAGGGGCAGAGAGGAACCTCATGAGGTTCAACAAGGACAAGTGCAGGGTCCTGCACCTGGGCAGGAATAACCCCAGGCACCAGTACAGATTAGGGGTCGACCTGCTGGAGAGCAKCTCCACAGAGAGGGACCTGGGAGTCCTGGTTGACACCAAGTTAACCATGAGTCAGCAGTGTGCCCTCGTGGCCAAGAAGGCCAATGGGATCCTGGCTGCATCAGGAGGAGTGTTGCCAGCAGGTCAAGGGAGGTGATTCTGCCCCTCTGCTCAGCTCTGGTGAGGCCGCACCTGGAGTATTGGGGGCAGTTTTAGGCTCCCCAGTATAAGAGGGACGTGGAGCTCCTAAAGAGTCCAGAGAAGAGCAACAAAGATGATTAAGGGAATGGAACATCTTCCGTACGAGGAGAGGCTGAGTGAGCTGGGCCTGTTTTCTCTGGAGAAGAGAAGGCTSAGAGGGGACATGATTAATGTGTATAAGTTCAGGAAGGGAGAATGCAGGGAAGAAGGGGACAGRCTGTTTTCATTGGTGGCCAGCAATAGGACGAGGGGTAATGGCCAYAAGCTGGAGCACAGGAAGTTCCGTCTGCATGTGAGGAAGAACTTCTTTACTGTGAGGGTGACAGAGCMSTGGMACAGGCTGCCCAGGGRGGTTGTGGAGTCTCCTTCTCTGGAGGTCTTCCAAACCCRCCTGGATGYCACCCTGTGCCMCATGCTCTAGGTGTGCCTGCTTGAGCAGGAAGGTTGGACTGGATGATCTCTAGAGGTCCCTTCCAACCTTRAATATTCTGTGATTCTGTGCTTATGTGGGATATTCTCATGGGTTGCCTTTCAGTATCTAGTTCTGCCTAAATTAGGGAACTTTAGGCAGCAAAAATGATGACTTTTCTAAAGGACATTTAGAGCAGGACTCTTTTTTAACTTTTATAATCTTCATTTTTAATGATGGTTATATAGTAATTATTTTCTGTTGTATAAATTATCAACATTAGTAGAATTTTTCATAAAATTTGTAGCATTTTTTAAAGAAACATGTTTTTTAAATAAATTGTTTTTGTAAGTATTTTGGTTCATTTTCCGTGCCTATGTTCTACTTTTTAAATTAAGAGATTTGTTTACAGCAGTCGAAGCATTTTAGGTAATCACATCATTTAAAGAAAAAACAAAAGTGCAACAAGATAAAACTGCCAAGAAATATTTAAGCCCCAAATACAACTTCTGACTTTCTCTGGTACCTAGTAAACAAGAAYGTTACTATGGAAACTTTCTTGAATTTGAGGATTCTAAATCTTTTCCCTGTTTTCTCTATTAGTCTATTTGGGACAGCAAATGTGTGCTTGGATACTTCTCCTGTGTTAACTACTTTTCCTAAAATGTAGTTACTGAGAGTCTGTGTAAGACTACATAAACATGTGAAACTTTTGCTTTACAAAAATAATAAGAAAGTTATGTTTGCGTCATCTCCGAAAGTTACTTCTGCAGTTCACCAATATCCCTGTCTTGTTGAGGGGTACCTGTTCTTGTGCTATCTTGTGCCATTGCTTTGAGGCAAGTGGAAACTCTTCAGCTTTTCAAGGTTCTGTATGTCTGAAAAGAGTTTTTCTTTCCCTATAAGGATATAKTAGTTTTGGTTCAAAAAGCTGGGCTGAGAATTATGAGAATTATTGCTGTTCACTATTACTCAGTTTCTATGCCACCAAAGACAGAAGTTCCCCTTGGTTTGGAGATGCTAGTCTGTAACCTCTTTCCAGGATTCTGTTCTGTGAAAAAAAAAAAGATATTTCCACCTTTTTTACCATTGTCCACTGAGATTTTTTACTAGTCTTGACTGTTGCTGTGGCTCATGCAGAGATGCTGACTATGAGTGGTTGCTCTACATATTGGAGCAAAAGGCTGTGTGAATGGGTTGGGAAGGGAATTTGAGTTTTCCAAGGAGCTGGAAGTGCGTCTATTACATCCTTTGAACCAATGAAGTTTCACATTTGCTTAAACTGTGGGATTTAATGCCTGYAGGTCACTTGACTCTGCCTTGTTTTGTTCTGGTTGGGCCTGCTCAGAACTATTTGCTAGGCAAGGGGATGAGAAGTGGATGTGCAATCTTTACTAACCCCACCACGGGCAACCTTCGTCAGCTCATGTGAAGATCCTTCTGTACCAGTGACCAGGACTACAGCTCAGTAGTATCTCAGAAGCTTGGAGAGGCTCTCTTCAGAAGTAGCAGAAGGTGGTAGTTCACACCATTGGAAACAGAAGTCTTGAGGTCTCTAAGGGATATGGATACAAAAAGTTTACAAAAATTCTAGGTAAATCTATATAAACCTACAGAAGACAGATTTGTTGACAGGTACCAACCAGACAAACCACTTTGTTTTAGGATGTCCCTGCTCTCAAAATCCTTGGAGGCTGGGAGGGTTTTGGTGGTAAGTATAGTATATGTTTTCTTCATTCTCTAAAAATGAGAAGATATGATCCATAGCTAATGCCAGAGGATCTACAAGGTCCCACAGTAGTCAGCAGGGTCATGCTAACTTAACCCAGCTGAGCATCCAGTTCATGGAATACTGAATGGGGTTTTTCTCTTAAGTTGGAGGTTATGAGACCATCCTGTGATGAGGTGCTACTATATAATTAAAGATTTTTTTTTCCCTGGACGTAGCTGTTGTAAGGCCAACCTCCATATGATGGATCTTGCAATATAGTTACTACTTCAATAGAAGTTTATTTGCTTTAATATTTCAGTATAGGCAACTCATTTATATCTGGTAGTTTAAATACAGTTTAAATTCTGTAACTCCTTCATTCCCTTGAGGGACCATAGGAAGGGGATTTGGCAGTGCAGGGTGGTAGGCAGTCTGAATTGCTTATATATTTCTTGAATATAAACACTGCAGTAATCCCTCAGCTTTATGTTAAGTGCTATAGCAAGTATCCGGAATACAGCCATGTGTTTCATGTCAAAAGCAAAATCCTGCCTGAATAAATTAGGGAATTGTGATTGGTGCTTCTAAAGGACACATCAACAACAATGTATTTTTAAAAGGACTGAGTGACCATAACATAGGCCATGATTCAGCATACATGCCTGATCATCAAATGCTTAAATTCTATTTTGAATCAAACCTAAACAGTGTGCAAGAGCATCCYAAGCTAGTCTAAGAACTTGGTTGCTGGAGGATGTAACTGCATTGGGAGATCTCTCTAAGTACCTTAGAGAGCACTACAGCTAGTTTTCAGAGTGAAGATGCTTATTCTTACTCTCTGCTTTAGAGCTCCCTTTTTCTATCCTTCTTTCAAATCAGATCAATGAACTTCATTAGCACTAGGAAAAAAAACACATCGCTCCTCTTTTAACCACTAGCAATGCAAAAATTAGTGTAGATCTCAGCTGATTCTGTTCTGACTTGTGCCTCCACAATATTATTCTGCAAGAGCAAAAGCAGAACTCTTTTGTGTGACTGCAGTGAAGACACTGGGTTTGGTTAGGTCTAATGACAGAAGTTTTGCTTCTTTTGATATGAGAATAAGACAGAAATAAAACAGTTTGAGTTAGGGAATTGATCTAGTTCAGTTTGAAGTCACTGAAGAATGATAAACATGAAACCCTATGATACTATCTTTCCTGTGTCATTTTATGTAAATATAGCATGGATTTTCTTTGATCTCTTACAGAGAGGGGCTTCTAGTTTACAGTTTTCTTCAGCTATAATGTGAGGAGGTCATTCATCATTGCTAAGTGCCGTTAGACCTGCCTGTTCAGGACAAGATAAGGGAGTATCGACTCTCATAGCCTGGTAATTAAAGCTTTTAGGTGCACTATGAAAACATTTCACAGATGACATTCCTAAAGAAAGAGCTTTTAGAAATGATTTTCCCCAGGATATGTGACCCCTCCCCTTCCAGAAGGTAAGGGAATACCCCTTTAAAAAGGCCAAAATTTGGCATAATTTGACTCTATATATTCTCTACGGCTATAATTACAGAGATGAAGATGGTGAACTCTAGGACTGCAGGAAATAGTTGCAGCAAAACTAATAGCTTCATTACACAGTAAATATAAACTAATGCTGTTAAAAATTTACAAATTTTACATYGTTTACTGTGATAGTTTGCACTAGCAATTGGTTTTGAACCATGTGAAATTCATCATTTTCATAATTCCAATCCAAAAGCAGGGAAACTCAGAGACTGAAGTATCTGGAAGATGTTGATTTTATTCTTGCCTATAACAAAGCTACAGTGATATAGATCTATTGCAGACTGTAGTGGAAAGAAAAAAATAATCTCTGTGTTTCACTTCTGAATGTTTTTGAAAACATCTTTAATGCCAGAATTAAGTCTTAAAGACACCACAACAAACTATATTGAGTGCAAATGTAAAGATATTTTGTGACCCTGGAACTAAATTGTTCAAAATTATAATGTAATCTCTGTCTTGTCCACTAGATGATGCAACTGTACTACAGAGAAATAAGAAATTACAGTAAGACCACCTGTAATCTTATTTATTCTATAATTTTAATAATAAAAACATTTTCATGGATACAGAAAGCTTGTTTTAGATAAATAGTTAAAAATGTAGTTTCTTTCTGCGGGGTTAAAGTAAAACTTCAAGTTTTCTAGTCTCTTATTTTTCCTTTTTTTTTTTTCAATTGATGTTGCACCTTGCTATGTTTAATACTTGTTGTCCTTTTCTGTAACTACCGCCTGAGATGTATCTCATGGGTCAAATCATCTGTATTATGTTGATTCAACCCTAATGGTTTAGCAAGTGTAATTGAGAACTGTCTGCTCATGTGTTTTTCCCTCA